TGTTTACAGATATGGCTTAAAATATAAATGGTCAATTATTTAGACTTCAATATTTTTTTAAAGCTACAGAATACTGTTTTCTCATATATTGTAGAAGTGCTAGTAACTAAATGTTAAACATACTAAAAGCTTTTGTTTTTTTGAGTAATATAAGAACTTTGTGTTTAGTAGTTTCATATTCAGTTACATTCTTTAGAATTAATATCGAATTATGAGTATTGCTCTATTTAATTTTATGATTGTATTATAAAGCTGGAGTTAATGATTTGGAAGTATTAGCTACCTAATTAGTAGTATACTTCTTATTTCTATAAGAATAAAATGAGTCATTATGGTCTTTTCTGTTCATATGAATGGTACGTGTTCCCAATTAACCTATGCAGGAAATTTATGGGAATAAAACACAATCGTGGCTATAAAGCAAATTAAAATATTTAGAGAAAAGGTCCTAAATATCACATTGGTTCAACAAATATTTATTAAATGCTTAGTACATTGCGGGAACTATGTTCTTTGCTGTTAATACAAAGATAAAGACCCAAATTCTGCTCTCAGTTAGCTTATAGTTTAAAGGAGAGGGACTTATCAGATAGTTTCAATATAACTGCTGCAATACGGGAATGAATATGGTAGAATAGAATGAAGAAAGTCATCTCTAAGTGAAGCGTTTTTGGGGAAATCTAAAGAACTAGTGTAAGAATGAGTTAGCCAGATATGGGTTTGGGTGAGGTTGGTGGGATGAGGTGGGATGAGGGTTAATCGAGAGAGAGAGTGGTGAGGATGACATTGTTCTAGATGGAGAGAATAGCATCATGTGTGAGTTAAGGGAAGTGTGTAACTGCATCGTGTATGTAGGAAAACCACAAACAACCTTGCACTATGAAAACAGAAGGGGGTAAGATTAAAAGTGATTAAAAAAAATGCGACTGAGGAGGCGATGATAACTAGCTAGCACTTCCGAAGGCTAGCTAACTACACCAGGCTTCACGTGTATGATCGTACTTAAACTTGACAACATTCCTCTGAGGTCTATAATCTCATATGCCCCTACTGTCCTGCCTACCTCCATACAAAATAATTCTACTCCGATGGCATGATCTTAGCAGTGTATACCATTAAAAATTGAATGGAGTACATTGTAATGCAGAACTGTTAATGTAAGGAGAGCAAACTATCTAGAGATTGCCAGAGGGTGGCACTACTGCACTCTTTGGCCAGGCTGCGAAGATACAGATACAGACAGTCAATCTTGTTAGGCAGCCCAGAGTCGATGCTACTTGGGGGATGCAGATTTATGCTAACCACATTTGCAGAGACTGTAATTTAACCAGAATGTTTTGAGACAGTAGAGACATAGCCTAGCATATGTGAGCAATACTTAGGGGTTTTGATGGAAACAAACACAATATGAGTCAGCTGAATGATGTGCTTGCTAATAAGATAATAAAATCAGAGGCTGAATTAATAGAAGTATAGCATTTCAAGATGAAGGAGGTAGAAGTCCCTTCCTTCCTTCATTTATCAAACTGGAGAATATTTGAGAGAGACGGATAATGGATGCTAAGCCAATCACATGAAAATGTGTTGGAGCTGGTTTAGATATACTTTAGCCCAAAAGAGAGAATGCTGCTTTCAAACAATATTTACGTGGTTGTCAGGTTTATTCCTTGTGTCCAATCTGACTACCATCTCTTTCAGTTCAGAATCTTATCACTAGTCACTTGAATTACTTCAGTAGTTCAAATTATTGAATGTAAGAGGATCCACTTGGACTAGTTTAAGTAGAAAATGTGTATATATTATTAGGGGATATTAGGTAGCTCTTGAATCAGAAGGGTTACAGAAACTGGCTCCAGATAACATTATAGGAATAACGTCTAGAACCACACAACTGAAATCAGTCTGATTAAGGAGCTGTTGCCACCCCAAAACCACTTGGTCAGACTGTCATGATGAAAAAGATCGGCTGCTGCCACCAATTCCATAACCACATCACCTCTGTTGCCACCCATGGCAGCAAAATGGGTAGTTTACTTGCGGCCTGCTTCCTTACATAGTTCACTTCTGAATCTACACCTCCTATAGATGCATTTTAGTAGTGGAAACTAAGCCACATGCCTGTACTCTTGTTATAAGGGAGACTGGCAAATGTAGTCTTTATGGATTCTTCATTGGTTCAGTGGGACTGACACTGTGAGGGAATATTAAAATATAGATGATGTGTTCGGATGTTGTTGGGCGGCCAAATATGACTGCAGACCACTTTGGTCTCCTAGCTAGTCTCCTTGCTTTCACTCAGACTTTTCTCATCTTTCAAGACCCAAATCCTCACGAAGACTTCTTTGACCTTTCCATCTGTCCTCTGAGTTGCCCAAGCATCATATGCATGCCTCTATTATAATTATTTCTTTGCATATCTATTTTCCATACTAGACCATGAATTATATATTTTTGTTTAACAAAGTTAGCATTTACTAAGTGTTACGCATTGTTCCAAGTGCTTCATAAATAATAATTCATTTAATTTGTGGGTACAGGCAGACTTTCAAATTTGCACTCCCATAGTGAGGCTAGCATAGTTCCTGGGGCATGGTAAGTGTCTAGTAAATAAGTGATTCAAAATTTAGAAGTAGAGAAGAAAAAATAATGACACAGTCCCGCCACCTTAACATGCTGTTAGTATTTTGTTGTACATGTTTCACATCTAGTCATCCAAAGAAAACTTAGCAAAACTTAAACTTCCCTAAGATGGGACAGGCTGCCTGGTTTGTTAAATTTGACACAAAACATAGATGAGTATCTGTGGACTATATTAAAAGTGTTATCCAACCTCGTTTATATGACTTTACTAATTCAACAATGCTAAATCTAGCCTATGTAAGAGAAAGATTGGAAAGAAGCTGTCTCCTGCTTTCAAGTAAGTCAATAACAAGTATGATATATAAATGAGAAATAAGATAAGATAGGAACGGTAGGGGTGGAGACAGTGATAGAGGTGATAGGAAGGGCAGTTATGTTTATATATATATGCAAAATTTATAGGTATTGACTGAATGAATTGTCATAGGAGTCACTGAAGTGGGTGCAAATATAGATCATGAGATTCTTGCTGTCAACAAAGTTAATAATCAATATAGATGCACTTTGATTACTTTTTATGGATCCTTTGTTTACCTCCCACATTCTCACATCTGAGTCTTTAAAATAATTTTAATATTTTTCCTTGCCCATTAATTTACTTGATTAAGCCAGAATTACTAGGAGAGTAAAGGGATAAAAATATTGTTTTTTTAATTGAGATGCAATTCACATACCATAAAATCTACCCTCTAAAAGTGTTCAATGTGTTTTTTAGTATATTCAAAGAGCTGTGTAACCATCACAACAATTAGTTTTAGAACATTTTTATCACCCCCAAAAGAAATACCATGCCCACCAGCAGTCACACCCCAATCCACTCATCCCCTCCTCTCTTGCCCCAGGCAACCACTAATCCACTTTCTGTCTTTCTAAATTTGCCTATCCTGGACATTTAATATAAATGGAATCATGTGATGTGTGGTCTTTTGTGACTGGCTTCTTTCACTTAGCATAATGTCATTTCTTCATTCTATAACATGTATCAGTGCATCATTCCTCTTTGTGGCTGAATAACATTTCACTGTATGGACATATAACATTTGTTTATACATTCATCACTTGACAGGCATTTAGATTGCTTCCACTCTTTGATGATACTGCTGTGAATATTCATGTACAAGTTTTTGTGTGGACATGCTTTCATTTCTCTTGGGTATAAGCTGGGTCATGTGGTAACTCTACATGTAACTTTTAAAGAAACTGCTAGACTGTTTTCCAAAGTGGCTGCATCATTTCATTCTTACTGACAATGTGGCAGAGTTCTAATTTCTCCACATCCACACCAACATTTGTTGTTACTATCTTTTTCATCCTAGCCATCTTAGGAGGAGTGAAGTGGTATCTTATTATTGTTTTGATTTGCATTTCCCTAATGAATAATGATGTTGAACATCATGTACTTATTGGCCATTTGTATATCTTCTTTAGAGAAATGTCCGTTCAAATTTCTTGCCCATTTGTAATTGTTTTTCTTGTTTTCTTTTGTTATTAATTTGTAAGAGTTCTTTATATATTCTGGATACAAATCTGTTATCAGGCGTGATTTGTAAGTATTTTCACCCATTCCTTGTCTTTTCTTTCGATGTTGTTTTTGAAGCACAGTCATTTCCAACTTGGTGACCCCTCAAGAATGTCTTAATATTTTGCAAGGGTTAACGTGAGTTTCAAAATGAAGAAAAATAATTTGTCTAGTGAAAAGGTTATGTGTGTATCACAAAGTAAAGGAAGATTCCCAACCAAATTAAAGCTTATTGAACCTCAAAACAATGTGTTCTTGTAATTGAATATTTTCCCTCCAGTGAGGGTTTTTTGTTATCCCAATACAGGTATCTCCTTCTCTCCCTTCCTTTCTCCCTCTCCCACCCTCCCTCTCTCTTTTTTTGCTTTTCCAAATCTAGCAACTTCTCATGAATATTTTGTCAGTGACATATTATAGATATATATTTCCTATTAATTTACAAATCATATTTGCTTTTCTAGATAACAGTAATTCTAAGGGAGCATATGCCAAATAGCAAAATGTATGTTTGTTATTTATTTTGGCTACCAGGGTAAATAAATAGCATTGCTAAGGCTATGTGATGTATATCTATGCTATAAACTGCAAATTTATTTTGTAGAATAGTTGAAAAATATTGTTTTCTTTCTGCTCATTATATGACTTGGTAGAGATATGAGCCATGGTAAATTTTATACAAGATTTTGGTGTCTAGAGTAGAAAATAAAAGTGAAGGATCCACAGAAACGATTACTGTTGTAAGTCACAACATGACTTACTATTTTAAGACAGAATATTTATTAACCACTTTTGAAACTCTTTAGCAGAAATTTGCTAATGCTTACAATGTTCTTTCTAATAGGAGGACATGAACCTTAATGAAGAACGAAAAGCTCCTTTACGAAACAAAGATTTTATCACCAAGCGTGAGATGGTTGTCCAGTATATTTCTGCTACAGCCAAATCTGTAAGTAGTGAGACTTTCCTGGCACCAACGTAATGAGCTTAGTGTTATCTGCTTAAAAATAAACAACCTCAGATTTTCAAGTTCTTAACTCAGTGTACTCATATAGACTATTCAGAAAAAATAATTATATATTTTTACACATTTAGTATATGTTCAAAACTGTTTCTAATTAGACTTCCATTACTATAAACAAAATTAACTGAAGATAGAAGGCCCTGAGTTAATCCAGTGAGTCTTGGGGCAGAGGTTTTGTGCACTTAATAAAATTGGACAGCAATTTGCAGGTATTCCATGAAATATACAGTTTGTTATATGAAAATTTTGGATTTTGAGGGAGAAGATACAAATATAGCCTAGTCACAAGTTTTAAGTTTACATCGAAGCTATATGTCTGGCATCTGCTTGCATGAATATTTTAGCAATATTTTTATTATGCAGTTTTGTTAGTTTTTTATCTTATGTGATGCTATGTAAACTGCCTCGTAATTGTTATTGTACAGCTTAATTTGATATAAAGAAGGTTACTTAATAGGAGCTTTAATCAAATCTGTCTGAATCTCAAAAGATTTGAAAGTAGGTTCATTGAAAAGACTTGTTATCAGTGGGAAAACTTAGTGTTTTAATGGAATATGTTGCTTTGGTCACATCCTAAGGTACTTCCAAAAATAGGCTCCAGGTTTGATTTTTTCTTTTTGTAAAAAAAAAAAAAAAGTGTTTTTGAAATGGGAAATGTATTGTTTACATTTATGTAAAAAAAAAAAAACTTTTCACATCTAGAGTTCATGAAATCACTATGCATGTATATATTATATATCTACACATATATATTATACACGTAAATGCACAAACACGTACATTTAAAACATGCATATTTTAAATTTAAAAAGTTGACCAGTGAAGAAAACAGTTCTTCATTTGAAAAACATATTCTAAAATTATTTGACTACCCTCTTAATGCTATCTCAGTACAATAATTGCAATGGCGATTACTGATGCATTTTGCTCCGAATTCTACAATCATATTGATTCCATATTGTACTTTAAGCTAGCTAAATCTGAATGCTGAACTATTTAAACATAACGCATTGCAGCTCTGCCAGAGTAGAGCAACAGCATGTTTTTTAATTTTCTTCTGGTATCCAAGGGCAGAAATATGTTTCGAGTGATAAGTGAAATTTGCCATGAGCGTCGTTTTCAATAGAATTAGGTGATGCATAGGGTTTTACTTTGAAATTCTGATGAATCTCTTCTCAGTTTTGCACTCAAGTTATTGTTCACAGTAAAATGCTTTAGAAAAATGCAGGGTGTACCTTCAGTGTTATTTTTCAAATACCTAAAGGCAAATACAGTAGTAAATCTGTATAACTAAATCTGAGTGCAAAATATAGATAAGAATATATGAATAATCATGTAGTGTTTTTAATGAGACGATTTTGTTAGTGTTTCTGGCTCATTTGTTGTTTTGTTTGTGTAAGTAGGATCGAATGTGATGGGGATGATATGAAGCCCTTAACTTTTTTATTTTTATTCTATTGCTATGTGGAACTTGTTTTCATTTATTCTCATATCGTTTCCTCTTCATATGACCAAAGAATGCACACTTTAAGTTATATGCTCATTTTTCAGATTAAAATGCTAAAATTTGGGTAAACGTGAATGAGCTCTCTTGAATTGCTTTATTTAAAAAATGGAAATTGAACGTTTCTCAAAAGACAGTGAAAATTCTATGTTTAAGGTGTTTGCCTCAAAATCAGTACTGTACCTATTTAGCGTATGACCTTTGTTTCATTTGGCATACATATGAGCACCAGACATGTGTACAGCACTTTCATTAGAGACATAAGATTCTACATTTTATTTGCTAATATTTTTCATGAAGCAAATATTATGATGAAAGAAAGCCTGTTGATAAGTATATTTTAAATCTTTCTCACCTTGGGGGAGACATTAATTAGCATTGTGTTTTCTGTTGTTAAAACAAAGAAAATTGCATATGTAATTTTCTTTTGAATGTGAGAGGGATGCCATTTGGTGACAAATATTCCTCTTGTCTTTTGACCTCTTCATTATTATGGCAATAAATTTTGCATAAATGATAACTTAATGTATGGCTGTTTGCCTGTGTGTAACCAAGGTTTCCATCCTGCTTGCATATCTTATACTTTTTTAATGATTTTTCATTATGTTGATACACTAGTTAAAAATGTTTTCTCATTTGAAGTAGATATGATTATACCTATTTCTTTATGAAAATGCTTTGTAAGTAGTCAAAACTTTCATCTTGAAGTAAAAACAAAGTTGAGGGGTAGAGTCCCTGGTGGAGAAATGTTTTATAGTCACATATAGAACATGTGAGAATTATAGTTAAATTTAAACATAAATTGTACATTTCCCCCTTTAACACATGCCTTAGTCAGTTTGTTTGGAATTGAAAAACAAACAAATGAAATATGAACTCCATAAGAAACATCCATCATCTTCCTGGGTTCCTGGGTAAGCACAGTAAAGCAAGATGAAACTATACACAGGTATGTGCTCAAAAGCTGTTTCTAAAACAAATGAGTCTTTTGTTATGTAATGAACTTTGCTAAAATTAGCATGGAATAAGAGAATGTAAAGGAAATGAAAAGATAATAAAACTACTGCCTAGTTTTTCCTTCTTGAAGCCCCACAATAGAGAATGTTAAGTTGTGTGAATGTTAAAAGAAAAAGTAGCTTGAGTAATTCTGACAGTGATGAATGACCTTCAAATAAAGTTGTGAAGAACTTCTTCTCTGTGCAAACTAGGCTTGTTTGCTTATTGTAGCACGTGCGGTTCTGGACCTGACCTAGGGTAGTTGGTACATGTACATCCTTTGACCACAAATAATCTAGAAGAATCTATGTTTTCAAAACACCAGCATGTTTTAAGAAATGGGAAACCAAGCTTTGTTAATATTGCAGATGTCATACCGATTCATAATCCCGAAAGAGGCACACTACGTCAGTGATTTAGAGGGTATCTGGCATATTGTATCAGAACAGCCTATATAGACCATTATGAGGAAAAAGTAATCACTGAAATTTTAACATTAGTTTGGCACATGCCAATGTTCCTATTAGAAAATTAAGAAACTAGTTTATTTCTAACTTAAATCACAAAGTTGAGATTTTAAAATGTGTAAAATTATATTTTTGACTACACGAGCCATTGGGAGCTATCATTGACTTGAAAAAATCTCAATAGGAAATAATTTTAAATAGTGTTACCAAATACATCTATAGATTCATTAGATTAATGCATATACTAAGCAATTAAAGTTGCATTGTATCTACATGTATTTTTGCATAAAAGTGTTATGGCTTTGCTTTTGCCATTATCAGATATTTTCTTTCCCGGGTCTTCTTTTCCAGGCATGGTCTGGATTTGGTAAAACAATTGAACTCAAACACGACCAAACCAGTTTTCCTTAGCTTCCCTTTGCCAATCTAATCTGTTCACTGTATATGCTTTAGCTAAATGCAGTCATTTTGTAATCCAAATGAATCATTAAATGGACCATATTCTGGTCATTTCACTAGGTGTAGACCTGTCTTTATTCTCAAGACAGGGTCATGTTCATGTTTTTTAGTCTCATGTCTGTGCTAAATAAACAAGGGAAAAATAAGACCTCTGTCTTTTTGGTGGGAGGAATAATTTAGGTCAATAGCATATCTTTCAATTCAGAACACTGTTAATGGCACCAAAGAGGCTTTTATTCAACTAAATAACTAACTGCTGCCTGTAAATAGTCTGTTGAGTGAATATTTTACGAAAGCTGCTTCTCTACTTGGAGATTCATGGATTCCTCTGAAATAATTTACTTGGAAACTCATTATCTTTTTGTTTCTTGTGGTATCCTGTTCAATTTAGGATTCTTAATAGGATTTCAGTTATATTTTATTTTTTTTAAAAGTACTAGCTGAAAAATAGAACACATATTGGTAATTACTGCTATTAGATTAATGGTTTTAGATTGTAGATTGGCTCTGTTTTGGACATTGCTTGATATTCAAGTATAGGAATCTGATAACAATGATTATATTTAGATTTTGGCACAAAATTATGTTTAAGACTGTGATTTTACTTCTTGTTTTTTTCAAACACAACTCTGCCCTTCAGAAATTCTTTTATCTCTTATCCATTAGGAAAAGCTCAATCAAAGTTGCAATTTTGAACTGTTTCCTCCTTATGAATAACCGCATGATCAAATATAAAATGCTTCTTTGTCTTCACATTATATAGAAAACTCTAATCTTATAATAGAAATGCTAGGATGACCTAGAAAACTAGACTCATAAGCAATCTATCTTCCTTGTAATTTTCAAGTATAATATAAAATAATATTATAAACCTCAAATTTATAACAATATAAAATATTCCAATTTTCTTAATGCATGACTTTAAATGCAAGATTAATATTCTAAAATACCTTATTTCAATCTTAATAGTATACCCGTTATAACAGGAAAAGAAAAAAAAAGACAATATTTTCTGGGAAAAAAAATTCTGTTGCTAATTTATTTGAGGGGCTGTGTGGGTTGGTAAAATAGCTGATGTTTAATTACACTTAATCTTGCATTACTTCATATTTAGATTGCACTATATGATAATTCCATTACAGTACATTTAAAAGAGAAATCCTCAAATAGTAATAATCTTCTATTTGGGAATCCTTATTCTACAGAATTTATTGAAATACAGTAGAAATTAATACTGATATATTTGTTTTAATCTCTAGATCTGTTATTAAAAGTATGCACTTAAAGGTTAGCTATTTACTAATTTACTAAACACTTCTGTGAAAAGCTTCTAATTACTAATACTGTTGCTGTTTGTTTTTTTTTGTTTTTGTTTTTGTTTTGTTTTTTTTTTTTTTTACACACCATAACCACTCTCCGTTGACCACTGCATGCAGATAGTTGGAAGTAAAGTTACGGTGAGTACAAAAGATGTGTTTTACCCTTAGATGTGAATTTGCGCTTTTGGGAATTAAGTGGTTTTTGTTTATAGTATTTTATATGTTTGGTTCTTCTTTCAGTGTATATTATACCAAAGCAGTGATATAAATATTAGCTATGGTAACTGTTTTTCTTGTAGTTTGAGAAATGTTTTAGAACTGGAACATGGTTGTATATTTTGTCTTAGAAAGTTTTACCTTAGAACTGTGCCTGTGTCAGTCTTTAGGATTCTGATAAAATGTGTGTTTTACCTCAGTTTCTTGGAATGGCAAGAGGAGACTCCTAAAATGTTAGTTTATGCTGACAGGAATTCTTACTAAAATATCTCACTTTGATTTTAGTATCACTGAGCACATAGGGTAATGAAAACAACCCTTGATGTTCAGTCAGGAGGCCTGGATGCTTGTCTGTGCTGGGTGCTGCTAATTGGCTCTGTGACCTTGGGCAAGTCCTGTTAATTTCTCTGAGGTTGTTATTAAATGGATAAATTGAAGTGATCGTCTACATTATCTTTTAAGACTCTTTCTGTTGCTGTCTTTTAAAGATTTTATATTCAAGGAACTGTTTTTCTCTATTATGTAATACACCAACATGGCCTCTATGGTAATTGAGAGATATTTGTAACTAATTACCTTGCCTTCATGACTAAGCAGTCTGTATTTAGAAAACAAGGCCGGAAACATCTTTGACATCACTATCATCTCTAGCATAACAAATGTATTTAATATTTGTTTGACTTTAATAAATTGATTTTTTTTTAATTCATGTGACATCAAGGGGAAAAAAGCCACTAATCTTTCAGGATAATTAAAAAAAATCAGCAGATATTTCTTTAGTGCATATTATGTGCCAAGAACTGTGCTAGGTGCACTGATGACTAGAAAATAAGAATAAGACCTTATAGTTTCAATAATATATTATTAAATAATCAAACCTTAAATTGTACATGCTGATCTTAAGTGCAAGCAGATCCTTGAATAATGGTGTTTTGTTCGGCATTGTTCTATTATAGCATTGATGAGATGCCTTAGGAACTTAACTCTTGTTATATCAATTAGCCTATGGGAAAATTGGTTTTGTTTTATGTCGTTTTGCTTAAAGTCATAGTTTCCAGGAAACTATCAACAATGTAAGTGAGGACTTACTATAATTCAAAAATAGGAGCAAGAAGTAGGGTTAGAGTAATTAGAGAAAGTTCCATGAAAACTTCTGGACTTAAACTGGGCTTTCTGGAATAGTTAGTTATGATGGCTGAGATTTGATTAGGGAGAGGAGACTGTAAAGAAGCTCCCAGATTAGAGAAGTAATATTCAATGCAAAGGTTTAGAGAAAGAAGGAAATCCTGTTGGGGGCAGAGTAGGGAAGAGGGAAGTGAGAGATGAAGTTGAGTTAGCAGGAACAAAGAATGTATATTGGAAAGATAGAAAAAAATCAAGTTGAAAGAGGATCTTAAAGTCCAGGCAGAAGATTAGAAATTAGTCTGAGCAAGGAAATGACATGAGGACAGCAGGGTTTAAGAAAAATAAATTTGATAGAGGAAGGTAGGATGAATTAGGCTAATGGTTCTTAAACTTGAAAGTATATCCAATGCAATTTTTGTCTCTTATGGGGTCTGGGCTAGGGCCAAGAACTGAGAATTTTTTAAAATCAAGAGCTGCAGGAGATTCTGTTAAGGTAGGCTGAAGAGCACACTTTGAGAAATACTGGTTAAGGATAGAGAAAGATTTATTTGGGGTGGGGGACTACCTAGGAGACCTGTGAGTCAGTGAAGACCTGTTATAAACTGCTAGGTATAGAAGGGTGGGATTAAATAATGAAGTTTTGTATGGTAGAGGAATCTTGAGCTTATTTTAACATGGGCTGGAGACAGCCTTTATTTCTGGTCTTGATAACATAAACAATCCAATGGCTTATGCCAAAAGCCAGTGAAATATTACCAATTCCTCCATATTCAGTTACCAAGTTCTGTTGATCAATTTTCCTAAATAACTGTCAACTCTATCCCCTAATAACCCCCATGTAGCTCTCGTAGTTCAGACTCATCATTTACACACAACACATTTGTGATCTCCGTAGCCTCCTAGGTAATCGGTAGTCTCCTAGTCTTTGCTCTCCCCTCTCCCACCGGGCTCATGCATGTTCTACACTGTGACTAGAGATCATGTGTTTCCCTTCTTAAAATTTTCAAGTGGCTCCCTGATGCCCTTTGTCATCCCCCTTTTCTAATTTCATTTCTAGTTGCATTATCACATGTGCCTGTCCTCTATCTGTATAGGAAGACTTGGCAATTCCTTGACGTCCTGTTCTATAATACTTCTAAGTCAAACATATTCTATTTCTTTGAGCTAGAATGCTCTTTTCTTTTTTTTTAGTGTGCCCAGCAAGCTCCTAAATAGCCATCAAGATTAAGCTTCATGTCAATCTTAAAAGGAGAAGCTGTCCTAGATAACTCCTTCCTTCCCATAGCACTGTGTATAGTGTTATAATATTTAACATATTTTATTTTAATAAATCATTTATATGTCTCTCTTCCCCAATGAACATAGCTTCTGCTCTCAAAATACTAAGTCAAATGAGGAAGACAGCCAGGTAAACACAATAAAGGCAGGGCCTAAAGATGTGCTACAGTTAGTTAAAGCTGCAAAGTGGCAGACCAGTAGACTCTATATGGTTCATGGAAAAGCTTCATCTTGTCCGAGAGTGTTTTGACAGGCAATATAATGGGATAGATGTTATGACTGATTTGCAATGTAAACTATTTCATACTATTGTCTTTTCTATGACTTACTTCTTACATTGGAGTTTGCAAATCCTGCAATAAAGGATGAAACTATAGGAATCATCTTCTAGAGGAAGTGATGAGAGATTAGTTTTGGAGTTTAGGTGAGAAGGGTGCCTTAAGGGGGGAGATATTTTTGTTATTTTTTTCCAGAGACTACAGAGAAGAGTGAAAAAAACCTTTAAAATCAGTGGTGAAAGTCAGGTACTAAACAGCTTATTTTTCATGGTCTCATTAATCTTCCAAAGGTGGGAGGTGTTTGTTCATTGATAAAATGGGCAAATAACTTCATAGAAGTGTTCCAGAGAGAAGAACTTCTAGAATAACAACTTTTAAATATTATGGTTGCCTAGAAACTACATACGTTGGTCAGAAAAATGAGTGATATAGAAGCCAGTCTGCATTTGGAAAGATGGAATGAATATGTAATGAACTATGTCTTCATGACCCTGACTTTTGTCTTTCTGATGTTAATTAGGAGCAGAAATGGAGGCATTTGAGGTCCTCCTCATCTTGAGCTGCCATCCGTTTTACTTTTCACTATTCCCCTTTTAAATTTTTACTTTAGAAATCAGGCTGAAAAACTGTCTGTTACTTGAATATAACCACCCTCTGAGCCTCATGTGGTCATGCTTCTGACTTTGGTCATCTAGCATTTTTTTGCATAGACTGTTTTCCTTTCTTTGTAAACATTCTGCCCATCCTCCACTGCTCTTCCATGAAGCCTATCCTGATCCCTACTCCTGATTTCTGCCTAATAATTTATTTTTAATTTAATAATTTAGTACTTTCTTTTTATCTCTCTTATGGAATCACTTTCGACTTCATCTTATACTTCTACTATATGTTCCTTAAGGGCTTCTCTTATGATACTCCTATTATACTTTATAGTAATTATAGCCTTGAATAACACTATAAACCCAAGAGTCTGTCTTTTTGTATCTATAGTATAGACCCTATGAAAGGATGTAAATTTTAGTAGGGGTCATAGGTTTAGTGGCAAATAGATCTGGGTTCAGATTCGCACTCGGCTACATATTGTACCATAAGCAATCCAGTGACCTATGCTGCAAACTATCTGTGTAACCTTAGATAATTTAACCTTTCTGAACCTCAGTCTCCCCATTCATAAAATGAGGATAACAGGACTAAATTCAGGATGGTTTTGAAGCTTATTGCTTATACTTAATATATTTAACATATATTTGCGAGCTTCTTTAAGCTTGCAAATAGTAGGTCTAAATTACATTGTTCATTAAAAGTATTAATTTCTACAAAATACTAGGTGTGAAAAACATAGAACAGGAAGATGGCATGGTAAAATTAAATAAGGGTATGAGCTGCCTTTTTTCCTCTTTTTTTTTTTTGCAAAGTATTCAAGATGTGTGCTATTTAATATCATTTATTATGGGTCAAGAATGGTGGGAAAGATTTAGCTGGATGGAAAAAGGAGAATGCTTCACCTGTTTATTGGAAGCTATGTGTTATGTAGTGTAGATTATTGTTGGGCTTTGAGAAAAAAATTCATGTGGTCTCAAGAAAATATTGACTAGGTTATTTTAAAGATTTAATAAAGTAGTTGAAGATTTATTATAGATACCATCTATGAAGGGAAATTATAAAATATCTTCCTGTAGATATTTTAAAGTAGCAGAAGAGAATTTAGAGTAGGGTAGAGATGGAAAGAACTGAATGACTTTTTGAATGGCTTCTAGCTCTAAATAAGTGTTGTGCAGCTTTTTCAATCAAAATATTTTTTTTTAAAATTCAGTAACACATTGCATAATACAGATTTAGAAAACACTTAAAATGATTGATTTGATTTCACTGCAAACCAGGAGTAATTTATCCACAGGTAGAAAAATCACTATTCTATTGCGGAGAAAAAAAAAAATTAGAATTGACATGATTACATATAATTGGAAAATAGAATTATAATGACCAGCCCTTACGATGTTAAATATAAGGTAATTTAATGACATTAATATTGAGTGCCTAGGGCAGCAGTAGGGTGTTTCCAGATTAGTGTTCATTTTGGCAGCAGACAGACCTGGATTTGAATCCCTGATTCAGCACTCAGTCATTCTCTGTGACCTTGTTAACTTTTTCTAGCCACAGTTTCATTCCTTTCTTGAACAAATGTTACTGGTTACCTATTATGCACCAGGCACTATTCTAGGTGCTCGAATGATTAACCGT